TTTTATTTTCATTTTATTTTCATTTTATTTTCATTTTATTTTCATTTTATTTTCATTTTATTTTCATTTTATTTTCAGTTTATTTTCATTTTATTTTCATTTTATTTTCAGTTTATTAATTTTATCCTTTTCAATTAATTCCATTAATTTTATCCTTTTCAATTAATTCCATTAATTTTATCCTTTTCGATTAATTCTTTCAATTTCTCCTTTTCAAGTAACTTATCCTCTTCAATATTTTTATTCATAAAGAAATTATATTAATAAAGGAATTAGGTTAATAGGGTTTTGTTCCTGAATTACTTTATTGTTTTTACATGATTCATAAAATAAGGCTATATAATAAAGTGTGTATATATTTTTTTTGTACTAATTGTCTCTGAAAGTTTTAAAAAAAGTTTGAATATTGAGTTTTTAAAATAAATTATTGTCAATAAATATAATATTTCAAGTTTTTCAAGTTTTCCAAGTTTTCCAAGAATTCCAAGTTTTCCAAGTTTTCCAATTTTTCCAAGTTTCGTAAAAAACAATTAAATAATACTGAGATATCTATTTTTATTAAATAATAAAATTAATAAACACCGAAACTTTAAATTATGCATGTGGAGAAATGTAAGATCGATACGATGATGATGTTTGTGGAATGGTAATTTACCGGGTAATGTTAATTATATGTTAATTATATGTTAATTATATGTTAATTATATTTGTTAATTATATTTGTTTTGGTATGCATCAATATGAGTTTTTATTATTCAAAAAAAATCATTAAAATATATTAAAATATTTCCGACGAATGTTTTCAGGTTATTTTGAGGAATTATAATAGTATTGTAATGTATATATAAACATCTTCTTACTTTTATTATACTTTTATTTTTATATATAGAACAAAATTATATATTGATATACATTATTAACATTATACTAATATTGTTATAACATTATATTTCATTTCCTTGTAAAGTGCTTAGTTCCATTGTTATTATGCTTTTGGTCGATTCAGAGAATATCCTTTATGCATTTAAAGTATGACAACCCATTTAACTCTTTTTAATTATAATTAATTAATTACGACAAGGATTTAATTAATTTTATTGTTATACTTACTTTAGTTAAATTTACGGTTGGGGGAATTTCTTTATTTCCCGCCAAATAAATCTTAGTTTTTTCTTACTATTTATATTCGGCCGTTAAATAACGCATTGTTACTCAAGCAAATTTATTTATAGCACATTACCATTTATTTATTTACTATTTACGATTACAAAAGCACAAAAAGTATCATTCCAAAAATAACTTTACCGACATATGAAATTATAATATATGATATACTGATGATCATAATCTAATAATAAAATAGTAAAATCAATTTAAAATCTTTGTCACACCACAGTTTGCTATTCTCCGATTGAGTGTAAAAAATATAAAAACCTACTATTCTCTTTTTTTCCCCCATCAAAATTCAAATTTAAAACTTTTAAATAACTTCTGATATCTTTACGGAATAATTTAAAGATTAAAAAAAGTTTTCTTATTTTATTAGCGGAGTTCGTGTGGCTATTATTAGAATATATAACCGCACGCTCAAAAGTCGATTTCATAAAAACTGCATTTTTTCCATTTCTATTTTTAGCATAACATTAACTTTATCAAGCAATTTATTCATCGAATCATATTTAAAAACCTATTCTGATTGTTTGTATTACAAATCCATATTAAATCTGAATTTATATAATCTAGTATAAATCTCCATCAAAAAAGACGAAAAAAGACGAAAAAATTACCTTCTCTAAAAAGGGTCAATCACGATCAAATCACTGATCAATATATTTATACTGTAGATTTTAGATATAGATTTATACACTTTTCATTATATATAATATATATATATATATACACTTTTATTATATATATACCTTCATTATATATATATACAAAATTCACCGCGTATTTCTCTCTTTAAACGCTTTCGGTCGACCCTTTTCGAAATGAACTCTATCGATCTTCAAACTTATCATTCCGATTCCGAATATATTTATTCCTTCAACAAAAATCTTATTCAACCCGACGAAAATATTAATCAATTTTTTTCAACTGAACCCGTTGCGTTTCAACTTGACCAACCTTTCAACGTAGATTGTTATTACCCTTGTCAACAATATATTCAAGATTATACTACTTCTTATAGTTCTCCTGAAAGTATTTCAGAGTACGAACTTAGTTCTGACGATTATTCTTCCACCGCTTCAGTCATTTCTTCTCCAAATCTTACTACCGATTCAATGTTTTATACTCATCAAGACAACGGTGATTCTTTCGATTATTCTCAAGAAAGTTTATATCAAGATATGCCTGATATACCCTTTCAATATCAAGATCTTGGTATAATGAATTCTTCCATCGACGATCTAAACATCTCTTGCGTTGGTCAATCTGACGATTCCGCCGATCTATTATCAAATGCTTTTACTCAATGTCCTCAACCCATTATGTTTAATTTTGTTCCTACTCCTCTTTCTCCAACAAAGGATTCGTCTCTTCTTCCTTATGATCCTACCATGAATTCTCAACCTATTCAATCCACTCAACCATCGGATAATATCTCAAATTCTCAAATTGTAAATTCTCAAATTGGAGATACCGAGCAACAAATTAAACAAAAATCTCCGAAAAAATCGGACTCCGCCTCATCACGTAATAAAGTATCACATAGGAGCCACAGAAGGTCACTTCCAAGTGGCATGGTCGAACGATTACATACTATGAATTTGGCTCCTCCAAAACCTTCTCGTAAATCAAAAACTTGTTCGCCATTTAGTTGTCCTTACGAAGATTGTACGAAAACTTTTACCAGACAATACAACCTTAAATCTCATCTTCGTACTCATACCGACGAAAGACCTTTTCTTTGTGGTTATCAAGGTTGTATGCGTGCTTTTGCACGCCAACATGATCGCAAGAGGCATTATAATTTACATCTTGGCTTTAAACCTCATGTTTGTAATCATTGTGGCCGCGCTTTCGCTAGATTAGATGCTTTGAACAGACACCTTAGGTCTGACAGTGGCGCTCCTTGCGCTCAAGCCACTCTTCCTAGTACTGGCGCAAAAAAATTTAAACCCATTAGCATGTAATTACATGTGATCAATTCATCTTTTATAACATAGACTTTTATTGTAATTAAAACAAAAATGGACATTTTGTACATAAAAAAAAAAAAAAAAACTTTTGGGTGCGATTTTTTTTTTTTTTGTTTACTTTCATCACCGGTTCGTTATGAAACAATACAACTTAAGTGCGAATATATATATATTTTTTAACCTTTTTTCTTTTTTTTATTTCGTATTTTTTTCATTTTTTTCTATTTTTCGTTTTTTTAAAAGAAAAAAAATCCAAAAAAAATTGGCGTTCTGAATATGCAAACATTTAAAATAAGCACTTAAAGCACTATATTAACAATTATTTGAAATTATTTGAAATTATTCGAATTCATGATTCCTCTTCAAAAACAAAAAAAAGCTAAAGATTTAAAAAAACCAAAAAAAAAATAATTATGCTTTTTTTTTCCGAACTGGTACAGATATCCAATTATTATTTTCATGACTCCCCTTTAAACCATAGATCTATTATTCATCACATAACACAAAGCATTTTTTTTTAAAAAAAGCATTTTCACACAAAAAAGCATATGCAAGCATTTTTCAATCCGCATCTTTTTAAAATTCATAAATCAATCTCATGTGTCATAAAAAAAAAATTAAGGTTTTCTTCTACGATTTTCATTATTATCACAATTACAATTAATAAAAAAAATATAAGATTTTTCCGGAATACAAAAAAGATTGTTCCATTTTTTCCAATGAAAAAAAGATTCCATAAATAGTAATAAGTTAATGATTGGTTCTTATCAATGAAAATATATATAGTACTTGTGTACTCACTTTCAATCATTGAATAAATTTTCATCAAAACTTAAACCCGCCTATTTCTTACACAACTGATGATGTAGATGATCGAATCTTTATGCGTGGCTAAATATTACAGCCTTTGTTCAAACAATTTGTATTACCTTTCTTTCTTGCGTGGCTAAATATTTGTTTTATTTGTGCAAATATTATTATTTTTTTCTTGTGATTCTAAAGAAACCAGTATTATCGGGATTATTCTTTTTTTATAAATAACTTAAGTGTACGTAGTATATATATTATATAATATACATATCTAAGTATATATATGTATATTGATACGTATTAATAATTATGTATATATATAGTATAGGTGAATGGTGATTACGTGTGCACACATTGATAGGATATGATTATTAATCATGCTATTTCTAGATTAAGTTTACCTAGATAATATCAATATCGATACGTATACGTATAAGATTTATTATTAAATATAGTAATGTCGTAATTGCTGCGTTAAGTGTATTAAGATAATCTTTCAAGATAACTTTCTTAGGTTAGGTTTTTTTTTTTTTTATAGTACGTAATTATCTACATTAAAGATGCCTTCTGCAAAAGTCGCATCTTAGCGTTTCAGCAACTCCGCAAACATTCTTTTTTGTTGCAGCATGACTTCAAAGTCACAAGGTCAAAAGCCTATTATTATTATTATTTGTAAAATGAAGATTAATGTTAAGTATATATAAATGTAAATATACACTACGTATAATTTAAATTTTAATTATATCAATTATATATACTATTTTATAAAATATATAGTGGAGTTGAAAATGTGTGTTTTATAATAAAATTTAGCAATGAATTTTTTTTGTTAGAACCCAAAGAGTAGTTTCATATATTCAATTTTGAGTTATAACAGATTTTTGACAATTTTTGACGAACGTTGTTTTGGTTATGTTACGTTACACCTGATCTTTAAATTTGATTGGCTTTTATGGGATGCGGTTTCAGTAGCCATGGTTACAAATTTATTGCTCCATATACCGTATAATTCCGAAATTAAGCACCCTTTTTTTTGTTATAGGGGGTACTTAATTTTGGATAACTTTGTTTTTGATAAGATTTATTCTATCGAACAATAAAAAACAAGTTGTCACCTATGCTAAAGAAACTGGGAGGAATAAAGCCGTGGCAGCCTTTAAGCTTGATCCGTATGGTTGGTTGCTATATTAAAGTAAGTAGGCTATGGGAGCTGAGATAAAACAAAGCACCAAACGAGTCAGCTCTGGTCAAACAGAATTTTACCCTAGGGTGAAAAAAGCTATATGATTGGATTATAGAACAGAGAAAAAAAAGGATTTAGTGTTTCTTACGAGATTACACCATAAAGGTGCATAATATTTTTAAAGGAACCTGATGCGATAAAGTAGTTTATCATTCGATTTTTGCTTACCGTTATCTATTGACGCTAAGGAGAATCGAGTGATATCAAAATCTCATGATTATGATTATTATATAATAACTAGGTTATGAGATACTGCTGATATTACTCTTTTGTCATAATGCCTAGACGTATATCTTTATACGTATGTATATTGCAGATTTATACTCATTAAAGATTATACTATTACGTAATGAGTAATATAATTGTTGTCGTATCAACGTAGTACGTAAACAAAAAAAAAAAGATCCATCTAAGGTTATAAGGCTTGCTAATCCGAAAATCGAATGATGTATACAGTATTATGAAACTCATACGGTACTTATTCGTGATCAGTATCTGTCAAAGGTAATAATAATGATGGTCTAGTGTCTCGAATGTTGATTCCTTATTCTAGAATAAACTAAAAATTGCTATGTATTTTACTCGAAACCCCTGGTTTAGCCTTGTAAATCTTCCAACTTTCTAGAAATTACTTTTTCGGATCTTCAGTCCGGAGTTTTCGGAGTTAAAGTTAGGTGATTTGCAGGTGATTTGCAGTAGATTTGCAGGTGATTTGCAGGTATATGTAAGCAGGAACATGTAATTTACCGTGATCTTAACAGTTAAGAAATTTCGAAACACTAATTCTACGTACGTACGTCCTTACGTCACTCGGCTAACCTCTTAAGTATTTATTAATGAATTACAATTATTATTACCCGAGTAACCCTGATTAGAATATAGACTAATGCTATGCAACATATTATTTAGGCTATAAACTTCATGAAAATCATAGTCTCCATCAACGTATGAGTCATCAGCAGGTAAATACGTATACGTATGAGTCGTATATAAAGGTGCAGGCGGAACTGTCCCAATGAACCGTACGACACACAGCAAGTTACGGTTACGGTTGCGGCAAAAACCGTATGAACCCCAAATGCCGTATAAATCCCAAATGCCGTATAAATCCCAATTGCCGTATGAATCCCAATTGCCATATAAATCCCAAGCGCCATCAGTATTTGTATTTAATTAATCAATATTACAATCAATAATTATATGAGAACTGGTCTAACAATATGGCAGTCTGGGAATTTGAGAATTCTCTGATTAATAATAATTTTTGTCATTTTATAGCATATTGTAAATGTGTACAAGGTTGGCGCGAAGACTAAATTCTTAAAATTCGATAAGGTTATGGTTAGGGTCAAAGTTAGGATTTAGAGAGAATAGTTAATATAGTAAAATTGTTCAACGAATTTTTTGTTAGGGCACAAAAGATGGTTTCTTATGCTGATTTTTGGGCTATGAGCGATTTTTGGCAGAACGAACGTTTGCTTTGAATCTTCTTGATTGTGTTACGTTACACTTAATCTTGAAATCTGATTCGTAGTTCACAATTACGATATGCATCAATAATGATCAATGATGTAATAAAAATAGTTTATATTTTTTGTCTATTAGCAAAAGTTTTTTATAATGAATATGAACAAAGAAATTCGGTTCTGAATAATAATAGCTTCCCATTATCTGAATTAAACTTTAAAATCATCTTCTTATGTGTCAACCTTCTACTTCCAACAATTATCAAAACCACTTCAAGAGCGAAATGAAACTATTAAAAAAAAGATGATATTGATATAACAAGTTATGACAAATTACGGCAAGTTTCGATATATAAAATTGAGTTATGGCAAGTTTCAACGTATAAAATTGTGTTACGGCATGTTTCAATATATAAAATTGAATTACGGCACACACGCACGTTACGGCACGCCGTAATTTAAAGCAAAAAGTTATAACTAGTTATAACTCAGTTACGTTACAACAAATCCTAATTTTTCAAGTTCCGCCTGCACCTCTAGTCATATACGTATACGTACCATCTCATCCAAGTAGTCAGTAATAATACAGACTTTTTTAATAAATATTACTGATAAAGCATGGATTTCTAGGGATGTTAAGTGGTCCACGGGGAACGAGTTCGGACCGGGTCTGGACCGAACTTTTTAGGGACTAGCGCAGAACT